GCACAGAGAGTTCCATAACTGGCGCCTTGGAAGATCTGAAAATATAAATTAATACCACTATACAAAACATAATTCTGAAAAGTCAAGGCATCAGACAATGAAAGAACTATACAGYTGGAGTCAGGACCCCTCTGTGGGTCATGAATCATCAAGTGAGGGTCCCYAGATAATTCCCAGACATCAATTAAAACGTAAATAAATTGCTAAATAGAATATTTTCACCATAATTATTGCAAAAATATGACAGTAATCATAAATGAATAAATTAGGCTAAATTAGGTTTGTTTCTATTTTTATTATGCCCGTGTTTAACAGAGACATCAACAAAGTTGGAATGCATAAACCATAATTCTGTATGTGAATTAAATGTTTCAACATATTTTATCTCTAATACTTAACTGTTTAGCAACTTTTAATTTCTCATATAAACCAAACAGCCACTTTTCTAAATCTAAAGTATAACGTTTTGTCAGGCCCACCTTGCTGTGAGCATAAACCACCGAGCCAAGAAGTTTCCAGGTGCCTCCCCGTCGGTCCATACGAACCATCCGCAGGATCTGCAGGAAACGCATGCTGCGCAGCGCCGACGTGGCAAAAATGTTACCCTGCGTCCCCGCAGCAATCACCGCTAGTGACGCTATAAACACAATGAAGTCTGCAAAAAAGAAAAGAAACGAGTCATTAGGCAGAATAAAATGGTTTTAACTGATTTTAGGTGGTTTTGTCAGCCGCTCACACACACACTAACCTATGACACAGAAGGGTTTCCTGGCAAATCTCAGACGCCCCTGCCATCCGCGATATCTGCAGCAACAGCCAGCGGCCCAGATCCTGATGAAGTACTCCAAACCAAACACTACAATCATGACAAACTCCTGCAGACAGACATCAATAAAAGGTCAAGAAGTGACGTTTTATCTCTAAAGCATTGCAGAGTTGTATTTGATAGAAAAATAATGACTCATACATAACAAAGTCATGTTTCCTGATTTTACACCCAGTTAAACAATTAAAGCTGCACAAAACCAATCTGGGCAAAAAGATCGAGTCAGTAAAGTTCACTAACGGTCAAGTGGTTGCTAATGGGCAGGTGATTGATCCAAAGAGTAAACTGAATGAATGTGAGAGTCGATGAGAAGAACACGTAAAGATAAGTRAGGTAGGAGGTGTTCTGAGTCTGGCTAGGAAGGAAGTGTTCATTACTTTTCACTAAAGCAGCACAAAGAAAGAGAGGCTTTTAGGATTATTGCATCACGTCTGTGATTATAYGCACAGTCAACAACACCTGAATCCTTACATCTGTGTCTGTGCTGCTACTGTCAAACAAACAACACACATGCACATATATACAGCAGGTAAAATAAGTATTGAACACGTCACCATTTTTCTCAGTAAATAT